TTTTTTTTTAAACTAAATTTCAATATCGTGATAATAACGTATACCATGATAAAAGCATTAGCAATTAATCGCAACATGAAAATTTGATACCGGCATATCCCTACTGCCAACACACATTTCAGTTCAAACAGCTTGTAAAAGTGCATGTCACATCCGATGACCCCTTTAAAAGTCATGCAATGTTTTGTTTTGTAATCTATTATTATTAATGTCTTATCATTAAGAAGGTATTTCTTATTATTCAGGTATTCTTAAAAAATCACTATTTGTATTACACTAAAGGGCATTAATGTTTGGATCAATGTTATGGTGAATACATTTCAAGAATTTCCATTTTTGAGTAAGTTACCTCTCAACAAGGATTGCTTGTCATTCCAAACAACACTTCTCTTATTTATTAATAAATTATTAATCTGGAATCTTGCTTACTCTTGATCCAACTTTAAATGTTTGCAAATAGCTTTGCAAACTCTATATTAAAGTAAGATTAAAATGATGTGTTAGTTCTTAAGAATGACTCACTAATGAGTGCAGATTAAGCGGGGGCAGATAGATTTGACTGGATTTGTGTTAAAACGATCTCTATAATGAAACAGTGAGGTTTTCAATCTGAAGTGTGCTTAAGGCATAGAGAAGATGTTCCCTCGCCTGGCCTTTTCTGGGTTCTCTGTTGTGTTGGCTGAGGAATGCTTGGAGCAGGTTCACACACACTGTTTGTACGCCGTGGGTGTTCGGAAAAAGCCTGCCGTGAAATCCAGCAGACATGTTGAGCTTTTATTGTGTAGATGGAGCGAAGTGTGAGTCAGTGAAGAGCCCCAGAGGCCCCTGCAGCGCTGGAGATCTGTCAGGACCCAGAGTGCAGCAAACGGGGCACCTGACTGTTTTCTTCTATCACTGAATACTGCATGCCTCCTCATACCTTATCTCCCTCTATTTATGAATGACAGATTGCTCATAGCAAATTAATACAAGCTAATCATAGTCTGCTAAGATTTTACATGAGTATGCAATGTGGTTTTTGTGAATTTTTGTGACTAAATACTATGTTTTAGGGTTTCAGGCCTTGCTTTGGTTAGACTGAAGCGTACATTATGTCTATAGACTGACTTCTCTTTGATACTTGTCGTCATACATTGGAGAGGATGTGTCTGGCTGCTTTCAGCAGTTGTTTGTTGTGACCCATATGCAAGTGCATTGAGCTGTGGACTATTGGTGGTTTAACTTCACAGACACGACAGAATTACGAATGGGTGAGTGAGTGAGTGCTCTAATTGGGATGTTTAAAGATAATAGAGTGACCTGGCTTTACACTGTACTACATTTAAGGGGTCTGACAGACCATTTTACATATCCCGGGTGTAATGCATAGTAAAAAAAAGAATAGTTTTATACACATTTTTTATATTTTTTGTCAAATGATTTAAGCTGGAAAAGTCAGTTGAACTGAATTTTGCACAGTGTTTGCTAATGGAATTTTGTGTGACAATCATTTTCAAGTTTACATGATTATTTTTTTATGATTATATTAATTACTTTTATGTAAAGCACGTTGAATTACCATTGTGTATGAAATGTGCTATATAAATAAACTTGCCTTGCTTTGCCTTACAAACAACATACACTGCCATTGAAAAGTCTGACCAAGGCTGCATTTATTTGATCAAAAATACAGTATGGAGAGTTATATTGTGAAATACTATTAGAATTTAAAATGATTTGCTGCTCAATAAATACTTTTTTTTATTATTATACGTTTTTATTAAACAGTTGGTGCTGCTTAATATTTTTGTGGAAAAGGATTTTATGATTAATAGAAATTCCAAAAGAACAGTATTTATTTGAAATAGAAATCTTTTGTAACATCATAAATGACTTTACTGTCACTTTTGATCAATTTAATGCATCTTTGCTGAACAAACTGACAATAAACTTTTAAACAGTAGTGTATGTTGTTTATTAGTAGTTATGTGAATTCCTATGCCCCTAATGTTAGATGTGGTTAAACAAATGTGTACACATCATGACGTGAAATATGACGTGACAATAAATCATACAGCATAATACGGTGTGACATTAAGTCATATGGCATGAAGTAATTTGAATGTCACACTGTATGAAAAATCAAAGATAGCAACATTTGCTAATGCTACTTCATATTTTTATGCATGTCATCTATTTCTTAAGTGTAACAGGCCATGCTAAACTGAAATGAAGAGTACACAAGTACAGAATCACTGAACTGTAGACTCACCCCTCAGAAACCTTATTCAGGGCTTTCTGTATATCTGTATCAGTAAACCTATAATCTAGTTACCACCCACAAATGTATATGCTCTCAGTAAGTGAGAAATGCTATCAGTTATACACTTTATTTTCTGTATTTTTAAAACTTCTCTTTTATTTTCTCATTGTATCCAGATACCCCTAATAGATCATGTCCACAGCCCAGTGCCTCTGCTCCTAGCCTGTCGGCCCCTTCACAAGCTGTTCCCAACTTAAAGTCCAGCAGGTCTTTACGGAGACAGTCAAAAGCTGTGGTAAGAAATAAATACACTGCTGTAAATGCTGATAACAGTTGGTCTATTATAACAACAAAAGATTTGTAAAGTTCTTTAAAGATAATTTACTTTTTTCAGTTAATTTCAAAACATAACTGAAATGACACAGATTACTCTTAAACGTAATACCCAAGTGATCCCAATAAGATTATCAGTGCATTCGGCATTATATTGTTCGGTAGTCATTTTAATTAGTTGTTCAGCTTTACTTCTCTATTATAACATTATTGTTATAACCTCATAACATTTACAGGTTTCTGTAATTACTCACAAATAATCAACCCTAATATTGAAATTTGTAATCATGAACATTTTCACATTGAATCTCAAAATTATTGTGGTATTTTAAATATTTGATATTTTAAATAATTCTTTAATGGAATGATACAAATTCAACATTACAGAATAATTGAAAGCCAGGCTTAAACTGCAAATTATCAGATGTTTTTTAATTATCATTTATTAACAATTACAGAACATTAAAAATATTATAACAGCTTTTAATTTAAGAGAATTTCAAATAATATTCACATAAACCCATTATAATAAATGTGACATTTAACTGTGTATATTTATATTTCTGTCTCTATCAATACGAAGTTTGAAAGAGAGCTGAGAGAGTTAATTTTTCACTTCAAAGTTAATTTTGCGCATTCGTTTTCACTATAAATAAATAAATAATAAAATCACTAGATGCTGTTAATTATGTTTAACATGTTAAACACCAAATGTTAATCACAAAAATTAACACATTTTGTTTCCCAGCCCTAATAATTTAATGTTACAACTAGCTTCCCATAGACTTCTTATTGTCATTATTAGGGGCTTGTCCAGGATCTTAGTATTTTCTCAAGACTTTAATTATTTACTTCTAGATGTGAATAGATGACAATTTTGTTGTAGATGTTTGGCATGCAGAAATTAGAGTGTTGTTGTGATCACCATTAAAATGATTATTAAAGTAAGACTGAATACTGCCTACTGAGGTTCTTCACCTGCTGCTGTTGTGTCCAGGAAATGTCGGAGAATGGAGGTGGAGGGCAGCTGGTGGTCAAGGCACGCTTTAATTTCAAGCAGAACAATGAGGACGAGCTGTCTTTCAGCAAGGGCGAGCTGATCCATGTCACACGCCAGGAGGAAGGTGGATGGTGGGAGGGAGCCCTTAACGGCAAAACCGGCTGGTTCCCTAGCAATTACGTCCGAGAGGTCAAGCCATGTGGTGAGTGGGCAGTCCAAGATATTGTCTTACATCTTTGCATAGTTAGAAACGTTTTGCTCTAGTGAACATAATGAAATTAAACAGGTTTCCCTTTCTTTTTTTCTCCAGAGAAACCGATTTCTCCGAAAGCGGTAAAAGGACTTGACGTTCCTCAGTTGACTAAAAATTATTACAATGTGGTAAGTTCTTTTAAAGATTCCAAAAAGGACATGTAAAGGAATTTTAACTTCTTATTTGAGTCATTTGTTTGTTTCTCAGGTGGTGCAAGACATCTTGGAGCATGAGAGAGAGTTTGTCAAGGAACTGCAAATGGTACTGGGCTGTTACCTGCGCCCTCTACAGGCCAGCAACAAGTAAGAGGACAACTCTGACGTTACCATGGCATCAGGGAGCCTTTGATATCAAAGCCGATTGACATTTTGGGAAACTGGGCCGGTCAATAAAAACCCATGCGCATAATGACTCTTCTGTCGGCTCTCTCTGCAGGCTGTCTAGTGCGGACTGCTCCAGTCTGAATGGGAATTTAGAGAACATCCTTTCTTTCCAACAGGGACTGTGTCTTGCCTTAGAGGAGTGCTCCAAGTAAGAGCTGCATTTCAGTGTCTTTATTTCAGTCTTCATATGCTCAAATGACTACTTAATTCTCTCTTTTTTTTCAGTGAAAGTCTTACCCCTTGATATAACAGTTCCATCTGGTGGTGGCTTTTTCACATATTTGTAACGTCCATATCTATGCTATACCATTTTAAGACCTAGGTTATATTTGCAGTGTTGGGAATGCTTCTTTGGAAATGTAATAGGTTACAGATTACAAGTTACCCTATTTAAAATGCAATCCGTTACTTTATTAAAGTAATGTAACTGGTTACATTTGTGACCCTGGACCACAAAACCTTAAGTAGTCTAATCGCTCTAGGTAAGCGATTTCTGGTAGCCAATGTTGACATTTGAAATCACCAATTTAGTTGTTGCGGCGCAGACACGGTGTTACTCACCTATCGAGAAGAGACAAAGCAACCTCGGCATCCGATCGCAGGCCTTCCGCTCCTTGAGTTCTCTCCAGCGCTGGAAAGCTGATCCGATATTTACACGGGTCCTACTTCTTGCCTTATTGCCTTAAGCCTTCTTTTGTTCCGCAGACATTTTCCTCTTTTTTTTTTTTATCCGCCATCTCTATCTTTCTGTTGCTCGGCTCGGACTGAACGCTCTCTCCTCCACATCATGAGTAGACACGCCCCTTACTGCTGATTGGCTACAAGTTTGTTTTGCTAGTCGGCCCAAATCAGTTTTCTAAAGCGTTTTTGAAAAATCATTTACCCCACCTTTAAGTAGCACAGGTATATTTGTAGCAATAGCCAACAATACTTTGTATGGGTCAAAATTATCAATTTTTCTTTTATGCCAAAAATCATTACGATATTAGGTACAGATCATGTTCCATGAAGATATTTTGTAAAAGTCCTACCGTAACTATATCAAAACTTGAAATCTTTGATTAGTAACATGTATTGCTAAGAACTTCCATTTGGACAACTTTATAGGCGATTTTCGCAATATTTAGATTTGTTTTCACCCTCAGATTCCAGATTTTCAAATAGTTGTATCTCAGCCAAATATTGTCCTATCCTAACAAACCATACATCAATGGAAAATTTATTTATTTAACTTTCAGATGATGTATAAATTCAATTTAAAAAAAATTGACCCTTATGAATGGTTTTGTGGTCCATGTTCACATTTTATTACTCTTTTATTACTTTGCTAAATTTCTAACGAATGTTTTCAACTGTTAATCATTTCCAAACATCTAAACCAGACAGGGTTAACCTTACAGTAGTACTCAACACTGATTACTGTCAGACTTTCAAAATCGTTCATCGCTTGAATTATGATTATAATTATTCAATTTTAAAGCACAGACACCACAAAATCAGACTTTGGCACCTCTTTTTACTTTCAGATCATTCTGAGATTAAATAAAGATTTAAAATCATAACAAGAAATAGTTTAATATCTTTGATACTGTTCAAATAACAATGACAGGAAACACTGGCATCTAACAATGCCTTGGAAAAAAAAACTGTTAATCTTAAAAAATAAAGCATATACAGGTGCATCTCAATAAATTAAACTTTTCCACAACATTCTAATTTATTGAGATGCACCTGTACATAAACCCAAATTGGAAGAAAAAGCAGTTATCAAATAAGCATGTGTCCTATTCTGTGTCCTAAACTGCTGAAACATTGGTGTCAATGCATGAGCGTGTGTGTGAAAATATTCAAATGTAACCCCCTTTGTAATAATTAACATTTTCATAAGTAACTAATTTAATTACACATTTTTTCTCAGTGACTGTAACAGATTACAGTTACATTTATTTTGTAATTGAATTATATAACACTTTTACATGTAACTAGTCACTCCCCAACACTGGTTATTTGACATTAAATTAAAAATAAAAATATTTTTAGTCCGAAAATGTATCAGGGCTGATCTGTGTGTTTTTGTCTTGCAGGATGCCAGAGGGCCAGCAGCGGATTGGTGGCTGTTACCTGAACCTGATGTGTCAGATCAGAACACTGTACTTGTCCTACTGCTCCAGCCATCCTTCTGCAGTCTGTGTGCTGACTGATCACAGGTCAGTGTTCACAAAATTGTCATCGACATGTTCTTGACTTTTGTGAATCTTCCAGAACACAAATTAAGATACTTTTCATTAAACAAATATTTATCGAAAGTTCTTTCCACAAAAAGTACAAAAAATGCACTGTTAAAGTGATCCAAATGAATCAAGCTGCTTAATTCAAGTCTTATGAAGACCACATATAATTTACATATAAACACTGATCAACACACATCAAATAGAGCATATAAAATATGGTAAACAACAGAAGCTCAAGCATGTCATGCGAGTACTGTTGAGCTTCCATTTAACATATTTTATGTGTGGGTATGTGCATTGATTAACTATTAAAATTAATATTGGTAGCAATTTACAATAAGGTTCCATTAATTAACATTGGTTAATGCAGTAGCTAATATTATCAATGAACAATACATTTGTATCAGTATTTTTTCCTTGTTAACATTAGTTCATAAAATACAGCTGTTCACTGTTAACAATATTAACAGATAGCTTTTGATTTTAATTATGTATTGATACATTTTGAAATTAACAATAACTAAGTTTAATAAATGTGATCCTGGACCACAGAACCAGTCTTAAGTCGCTGGGGTATATTTGTAGCAATAGCCAAGTACATTGTATGGGTCAAAATTATCTATTTTTATTTATGCCAAAAATCATTAGGATATTAAGTAAAGATCATGTTCCATGAAGATATTTTGTACATTTCTTACCGTAAATATATCAAAACTTCATTTTTGATTAGTAATATGCATTGCTAAGAACTTCATTTGGACAACTTTAAAGGCGATTTTCTCAGTATTTAGATTTCTTTGCACCCTCAGATTTCAGATTTTCAAATAGTTGTATCTCGGCCAAATAATGTATACATTCAGATAATGTATAAATCTCAATTTAAAAAAAATTGACCCTTATGAATGGTTTTGTGGTCCAGGGTCACAAATGCTTTAGAAGTATTTTTCATTGTTAGTTTGTTAACTATTACTAATGTATAGTAGTTACCTAATATTAACAAGTCAAATCTTACTGTAAAGTGTTACCATAATTTGACACGTTATTTTGAATATTAAGGGTTAAAGTGATGAATTTTGAAACTCTTCTTAGTGTCATTTAGTTTTGTAAAAAGCATGTTACAAACTGTAAAGAATTAGTGTAAAGTCTGAATTGTGGTACAGAGAGCTGCAGAGAACAGTAATACATCAATAGATTCTGAGCACATCTCTACATAGTTCATGAGGAGGCATGCAAAAGAGTGGTTTCTGGGCAAAAAAATGATTGAGATGAAAAAATTGGCACAAAATATTTTGTCTCCATTCAGTTCCAGTTAATATCCACATATATTCCAATTTAATCTCACATACAGTATATAAGTCGACTTCCCAAAGTTTGTCAATACTTTAGCTCTGTTAAGCTTACAAAACATTTCTCTGTTTGTTTGACACTAGTGACACAAAAAAAAAATTTGTGTCACCAGTGTCTTTGCTTTTTTTAATATAAAGTTGAACCACCAGGTGTCACTACAAAGCTTTCATTCTCTTATGTCTCACTGAGCTGAGTGACTAAACAAGCAAATCTCCCTTTTGCCTTTACATATAACACTGCTGCCCTATTTCCATTTTAAGGTTTTTTTTTTCTTTGGTTTGTACTAGTAAGCTTCACAGGTATTCATAAATGTCTGAGCCACATTTTACACACTTCCTGTACAATGAACTACATCAGGGTTTCTGTTAGTTTTCTCCTTCCACCTAAGAATGCTCCACGACAGAAGGAGAGAGTGAAAAGGCATGCCTCATACACACAGGAAACAGCACAAACCCAACAGGATATCTATAGCTGTGGTTGTGCTGATGGAGGCAGAAGACACACTTTTGATTGTGTTTGCTCACTTGCCTTTCGCTCTGCAGAATTGTTGCAGCATTTTTCCATTGCTTGATTGTGTATTCAAGGCATGATGTGTTCGATGATTCATCTTTAGTCTAACTTTAGTTTATCACATTTCAGCATCTAGTATTCTCTTCACGCCCGTTCTGTCACCTTCCCCAAAACACTTGCCATTGTTATGGTTATATGAGAAAGCATTGTTAACATTTTGCCTCAGAGTTTTTATTATTGTTATAATTTTTTTAATATTATACCAAGTGATACATTTTAAAGTGCACCTAAAATGTTCAAAATACGTTTTAGTGTGCATTTATTTATGCTACAGTTTGGGATACATTTATCTGATCAAAAATGCATTACAAACATTCATATTGTGAAATATTATTAGAGTTCAAAATAACTGTTTTCTGTTGTAATATATTTTAAAATGGAATTTATTCCTGTGATGCAAAGCAGAATTTTCAGCATCATTACTCCAGTCTTCAGTGTCACATGATCCTTCAGAAATCATTCTAATATGATAATTTGCTGCTCAATCATTTTTTTTTTTTATTATTACCAGTGTTGAAAAAGGTTAAATAAAGTAGCTTAATATTTTTATGGAAACGGTGCATTTTTTAAAAATATATCTGATGAATAGAAAGTTAAAAACAACAGCATTAAAATAAAATAAAAATAATAATAAATGTCTTTACTGTCACTGTTGATCAATTTAATTCATCCTTGGCAAATAAAAGTATTAAGTTACTTAATAAAAATCTTACTGACCTCAAACTTTTAAATGGTAGTTGTACATTCATATGTATATGTTTATCTGTAATAAGGTTTGTTAAACAATTCTTAAAATTAAAATAAATTTTAAAATGAAGGGACTGTTTTCAATACTGATGTGATTTGACTAGAATTGACTAGAAAAGGCACCTAATTCCAATACTTTGCATTACCTTAAACAGTGAGGAGCTGGATAAGTTTATGGAGAGTCAGGGTGCCAGTGCTCCCGGTATCCTGACCCTCACCACCAGCCTGAGCAGACCCTTCATGAGGCTCGACAAATACCCCACCCTCCTGCAGGAGCTTGAGCGACATGTGGAGGTAACAGTAAGCCGTCAAGGCCATGAATGCCCATGAGTCTTTTCATGAGTTATAATATTTACTAGGGCTGCACGATAAATCGCATGCGATATACACAGAGCCGTTGTTCACTGACGAGCTGCGCAAAAAATCGCGCGAATATGAATGTGGTTTTGCGCAGCTCATCAGTGAACAACGGCTCTGTGTAGTTAATGCTGCTCAATGTGAAAGCACGCAGGTGATGGAGATTTACCGCTGATTACAGAACCGGCTTTACTGACAAGATGCGCGTTAAATATCGCATGCGATTTATCGTGCAGCCCTAATATTTACAGATTCTTTCTTCTTTTTTTCTCGTAGGAAGCGCATCCAGATTACAGTGACATTCTCAAAGTGACTGTTGCTTTTAAAAATCTTGTGGTATGTAACAGTTATCCGTCATATTTGCCATTTCATCTTGGCCCTTGTCTGACAACTAAAGCTTTCTATAAAATCCATTCATCACTTAGACTTCTCAGTTTTGACCACTGTGAGATGTTTCCTCTCATGTTGCAAAACATTTTGAATCTTTTCTCTAATTCCCTTTTACCCTCATCTCTAAACCGCGCAACAGGTTTACTGCACTTTACAGGTTGGAGGAGATTTTGCTGTTACATGAAATGTAAAGGTTAAGGTTTTACAAGAGTGCCTCTATAACATAAAAAAAGACTGAAGAAAAGATGAGTCATTGCATATATAATGGCTTCTCAGGTCAAATGTCTCTGCTAAGAAATTTTAGTAGTAGGTGATTTCTTTACTCGTTGTGTTCTGTGGAACAGTTTCATCTGTTCTTTTTGTTTTTACTGACAGGTAAGGGAGAGTCCCATCTTCATAGTTTAGATCTCACTAGTGGAGGTGTCATGTAGACTTGGTCTTCCCCCTTTACCTATGCTTTTTTTTTTCAGTTACCTATATTGGTATTTGCCGATGAGATGATTTGCGCACTTTATTGTAAATCACTTTGATAAGTAAGCATCAGTTAGGAACATGAATGTAATGCCTGGAAATCTGGAGAAGTGACCTCCCACTCCGAAAGGACCGTTTCATGTTCCAGGTTATTGTGTGTTAGAAAACACGTTCTGTTTTTGAATATGCCTATTTTAACGATACGATCATTTGACAATCGAATTTGGCATTAAACTTTGTAGTAAAAAAAAAAAGTCTAAGATATGTTTCTTGAACAGAAAATCAGCATATTAGAATGATTTCTGAAGAATCAAGTGACATTGAAGACTGGAGTAATGATGCTAAAAAAATTCAGCTTTGCATCACAGGAATAAATTAACATTTAAAACATATTAAAATAGAAAAAAGTCATTTTAAATTGCAATAATATTTGATAATTTTACCATTTCTTTTTCTTCTGTATTGCTGTATTTTTTGATCAAATAAATATGAGACTTTCAAAAACATAAACAAAAAATCATACTAACCTCAAACTTTTAAAAATGTTTTGTGTGTATGCAACGGGACATTTTTCAGAGAATTAAGAACATTTTCTAAATGTATAATCACAGCTGCTAACCTTTTTAGACTTGGTATGAATCTTAATACTTGACTGTAAAACGATATTGTTTCGAATCATTATGTGTCATTGGTTTGTCTTTACACTGACTCATACTATGAAATGCATATTAACACATTAATGTATCTAATACTTGTTTCACTGAATTGATTTGTTCGTGTATTTCAGACTCAGTGTCAAGATCTGCGAAAAAGAAAGAACTTGGAGTTGCAGATCTTGTCGGAGCCAGTGCGGGGCTGGGAGGGCGACAGCATGAAGTCGCTGGGTCAGGTGGTCTACATGTCACAGGTCCACATCCAGAGCAGCTCAAATGAGGTGAGAACCAGGAAATAACAGTGTGGCAACTAAACTCGACCTGACATGTTGTTTTCACATCTGCGTGGTTATATCACTGTTTATTTTGTGCAAAACGCATGTTAGATGTTAGCACAGTGTCAAAATAATCTATGAAGTGATTATTTTAATCAATATTAATTGAAATGTAGTGCAAAACAAGGTTGTTTTGTGTAAAAGTGCTGATCAGGGCCTTTTAAACATAACAGCCAGAAGCACAGACTCATTTTTTTGTTTGTTTTTTGTGACTTGTTTTAGCTAACCAATGGAAAATGTTTTCAACAGCTCAAACCCCCCTGCAAAGTTTTGCATCTGTGGTCACTGAATGCGTTTTTAACTCGAACCTCAGCCCCCTTTGAATCTGATGGTCTGGTTGATGGAAACAGTGCTGTGTGAGGGGCTGATAGAGCCACTAATAATATCAGAAGGGGGTTAGCTAAAGGAAAATTAGTAGGTTGATGAAAGAAATATATTGTTACATTCATTCGGAGTGATTTCCCGCCATTTCTGTTCAATGTATTCCCTTTCTCTTTCTCTCTTTTGCTTAGCTGAAATTTATCTTGGTTTGCTAGACATAAGGTATGATATGTGTTGATCATGAGTAATCAATGTAGCAAAAAATAAAGCTGTGCACCAATCCAAAACCGTGTTTTAATAGAGACATTTGATGTTTGTGTTTGTAAGGGTTTGCTGTAATGCCATACACCTGCATCTGTGCCATGATTGTTTATGTAGTGGTGTTTCATATTATTTTTTGCAGAAGTAATGAATTTAATATAATGTGCTTTTTTCTAGGAAAAGGAAGAGCGATACTTCATGCTGTTTCCCAATGTGGTAGTCATGCTGTCTGCCAGCCCAAGAATGAGTGGTTTCATTTACCAGGTGAGTTAATTTCTTTTTTTCCTTATGTTTTACTGGGTGCATGACAATGAGCATGTGTTATTTATGAAAAAATGTCAACTTCAGTGCTCTCATTTGTGTCTCACTCTCGTTTCATAGGGACGTCTTCCACTGACTGGAACTACTGTAACCAAACAGCCAGAGGATGCAGAGACAGGCCATTATGCTTTTGAGATCACAGGTTTGTTTCAGTCCATGTAAACAGTTTTAGTGAGGCATGTTTTTTGAGAGGTCACAGAACAATGTACACTTGACCTTGTCATTAATGCTACTTTTTTTCTATGCTGCTAGTACCTGAGCTGTTTTTATAGCAGCAGGCAGCAGTGGAGTTTAACATAACAAGTAGAGAGCATGTGTGTGTGTGATTTATTAAAGGAATAGTTCCCTCAAAAATGAAAATTGTCACCATTTGCTCACTTTCTTTCTCACTGTCATCCTTTTTACCCTGTGGAACACAAAGCAAGGAAGTTTTATATGCAAATATTTTACATACAGTTCATAAAGACCACATCTGCTAAGATCCAGAAAGGACAAAATAAAGCACTATAATAGTCAAAGTGACTTGTGAGCTATATTCCAAGTCTTCTGAAGCCATTTGATAGCTCTTTGTGAGAAACTGACCTTATCACTCTATTTACTAGACTAGACACTCTATTTTTAGACTATGTTCTAAAAGGTTCATTCAGGGATTTTGTTCCAAAGCTTACTGACTTGTTGATCTGGTTGCAGCAGTTATTGAGTGAATTAGGAGAATATTATCAGTTAATAATAAATTATTTATACTACAGCTCAAAAGTTGTTGTTT